CTGAGCCACACCCCAGCCCCTCACTGGGGGATTCTAGGCAGGGGCTCTACCCCTGAGCATACTGATTTTTACTTTTGGCCCATATTTTCATTTAAAAATATTCCACACTTTCTTAGAGAAAGCGAACTTTTCTAAAGAGCCTAATAAACAAGTGAAAGGAGACAGTGGCAAGCCCGGCAGTAGTGGTGCAGGCTTGTAACCCCAGCATTTAGGAGGCAGAGGCAGATGAATCTGAGGTCTCAGCCTTGTCTACAGAGTAAATTTCAGGACAACCAGGGCTACATAGAGAAGCCCTGTGTCAAAAAACAAAACAAAAGAATACAGTGGCAGAAAGAAAACAGATAGAATGAAATTAGCCAGGAGTTGGCAGCTGTTGACACTTAAAATTTGGAGGACATGAACCAGTTAAGAATCCATAATTCAGAAGTCCAAACTCCAGCTGGCCGTAGTGGACACAACTGTAGTCCTGCCACTGGGAAGGTAGAGGCAGGAGGAGCAGGAGTTCAGAGTCGTCAATAGTTACAGTGTGTTTGGGGCAACCTGGTCTGTGTTAGAGCCTGAGATACGGCTCAGCAGCTAAGATGGCGGCTCTTGTAGGAGACCCAGATTCATTTCCCAGCACCCACACACTGACTCAGAACAGTCAGGTCTAATTCCTCTTTCTGTCCTCCGTGGGCAGTGCACGAATACCTACGCTCAGGAGACTACTCATACACATAGGTTTTTTGTTTTTTAGTAGCCGGGTTTGGTGGCGCATAGCTCTAATCCCATCATTCAGGAGGCAGAGGCAGGCGGATCTTTGAATTTGAGGCGAGCACGGTCTACATAGCAGGACATTCCAGGACATACATAACGAGATCCTGCCTCAAAAAATTGAATAATAATAAGAATAAAATAAGTGGGGAGCAGGAGGGCAGTTAATGTTTTCTGAGCTCTGTGCAAATATCCCCGTATCCTCAAAGGCTGTACTTTTCCGTTCCAAGCCTTTCCGAAAAGGGGTGTTCAGTTTATATTGTAGCACTCTGCTTCAGTGTCTGCGCACAGCTTTCCACGGCAGAGCTGTTTTTATGCCAGCTTGCCGGCTCACACACCATCTCTCCCAGGCCCCACGCAGGTCCCTGCGCAGGTTAGGCTCTGCTGGGTCCCGGCAGACCAAGGAGGCTTGAAAAAGCAAGAGCTGTGCCACGCCTAGGACTGCCTCCCAGAAAGCCCCGTGTGCCAGGCAGTGGTGGCACACGCCTTTAATCCCAGTACTCAGGAGGCAGGGGCAGGCGGACCTCTGAGTTCAAGCCCAGCCTGGTCTACAGAGTGAGTTCTAGGACAGCCAAGGCTACACAGAGAGGAAGACAAAGGCAGGGATGTCACAGTCCCCTGGAAGGCTTGCTTGTGCAATACGGGCCCAGTGCCCGTGGTTCCCACAGAAAGGAGCAGGTTAGTCGACTGGGCCCGCGGTATCCGGGCTGGAAGTTCTTGCTCTGGAAAGGAGTGGCTCATGGCCACACCTCTTTCAGCCAGTCTGTGCAGTTGTGTCTCCAGAGTTTCTCAGTGTGGCACACTCAGCTGCTCCCTTTTTGTTGTTTGAAAAGGGTCTCCCTGTATGGCCTCACCCTCCTTGAAACCTTGTGTAGACCAGGCTGGCTTCAGACTTGCAACAACCCTCCCGGTTCTATTTCCTGACCACTGGGATTATAGGTGTGCAGTCATGCCTGCCTAACTCACACATTTGCTCTTAGTTTGCCAAATTTTGCTTATTTTCAAGACAAGGTTTCTCTGTGTACCCCTGGCTATCCTGGAACTCACTCTATAGACCAGGCTGGCCTTGAACTCAGAGATCCCCCTGCCTCCACCTCCTGAGTGCTGGGATTAAAGGAGTGAGCCGTCACCTCCGGGCTTAGTTATTTATTTTATTATTTTACATGTATGCTTTGGATGTGTGTGGACCGCATGCAGGCAGGCATAGTGCCCACAGAGACCAGACAGGGTCAGATCCCTTGGAACTGGAGTTACAGACAGTTGTGAGCCTTCATGTGGGTGCTGGGAATTGAACCCGGGTCCTCTGGAAGAGCAGCCGGTGCCCCATCCCTTGCGTGTATCTTAGAGTTATTTTTGAGGAAGAACCTGCTTTTTCCTTCTTTGAGTTACTTTGTTCTGATTCTAAAAGTAACTCTCTGCCACTGTTAAGAATTTGGGAATCCAGAAAGCTATCACACTAGTGCACATAAAAACCCGATCCTTCTTGGTGCAGTGGCACAGGCCTTAATCCCAGCACTCGGGAGGCAGAGACAGGTGGATCTCTATGGGTTCATAGCCAGCCTAGTCTACAGAGTAAGTCCGGGACAGCCAAGGCTACACAGAGAAACCCTGTTCGAAAAGCAAGAGCAAACCAGAGCACGGTGGGCATTTTAGCACTTTCGCCAGCCTCTTTATTTGGAGTGGAGTTTGAATTTCACCACATCGGCGTCTCTACACCGTGAGTTGCTTACATGCCATGAACACAAGAGCTTCAAGTCTTTCTGGTCATCCTAGGCTACAAATTCTGGGTCAGCCTGGGCTACATGGTGAGACCTTGTCTTACCTCTCCTCCCTCCTGCAGATCATGCACGGTGAGGTGGCAGTGGCCGGTAAACCCAGTAGTTGGGAAGCTAAGGCGGGATTATCAGGAGTTCAAGGTTAGCTTGGGCTACATAGCAAAACCTGGCACTGACCAGTACTCAGGCAGTAGAAATGGGTGGGTCTCTGGAGTTTGCGGCCAGCTTGGTCTACATGTGAATTCTAGGACAGCCAGGGCTGCAGAGAAAGAGTCTCTCCCTTGTAGTAGCGCTCATCAGTCAATCCATAGGCCCAGCATTTGCTGACCATCTGCACACTAAGAGACACTTCCCCCTGGTGAGAGGAGGGCAGATAATATTTAATAAAAACAATGCCGAAACATTCTGAAAAGGAAAAGAAACCTGGTGAAGGGGCCCGGGTAGGAGCCGGGCCAGGAAAACTGGAGTGGTATACTTGTGATCCCAGCACTTGAAAAGCAGATTCAGGAGGAGTTCAGGGTAAGCCTTGGCTACAGAGGGACTTGGAATCCAGCCTTGGCTAAGTGAAAGCCTGTCCCCGACCCCCACCCTTCAAGAGGTTGGGAACTATTCAATTTTTGTATTCTTTTTTTCTTTTCTTTGAGACAGGGTGTCTCTGTGTAGCCCTGGTTGTCCTGGACTCACTCTGTAGACGAGGCTGGCCTTGAACTCACAAAGATCTGCCTGCCTCTGCCTCCCCAGTGCTGGGCTCACAGGGATGTGCCACCACACGCGGCTGATTGTCCTGGTCTGATTAAAGTTATTTTGCAGTGGGAATTTCAGAGTAGACAAACAGCAGACATGATGCAGGCCTCTTCCGGCTTCTCACGTCATCAGGATTTTGACTTGCTTCAGATATGGACAGTTTGGGGCTGGAGACATGGCTCAGCAGTTAAGGGCACTGGCTGTTCTTCCAGAGGACCTAGGTTCAATTCCCAGCACCCACATGGTCACTAAAAGGGACAAACTTCTAAAACTCCAGTCCCTGGGGACCTGATGCCCTCTTCTTGCCTCCTTGGGCATTGCACAAACACAGTGCACATAAAAACTTCCATAGGCACACACATACACATAAATAAAAATAATGAATACATAATCTTTAAAACATAGGAAAAGCTGGTAGTGGTGCCGTACACCTGTAATGGCAGGACTTTGCAGGCAGAGGCAGGCACACCCCTAGGTTCGAGGCCCGCCTGGACTTCAGAGCGAGTTCTGGGACAGCCAGGGCTGCACAGAGAAACCCTGTCTCAAGCAAACAAATAGCACCAAAAACCGTACATGGACTCACAGTTTGTCATAATTGCAGCATTAAGACACCGTGGTGGAATTTAACAGCCGTTTCGATGGACACTGTAGATGGCAGCAAGCAAGGCCTGTCAGAGACGGTGTTGCCCGTTCGTACCTGACACTGACCGTCTGCCGCAAGCATGGCAGTATTTTGGGAGTGATGGGTAGCTGAGCCAAGGTTGACAAACTGTTTAGGATCTCACCGTGTAGCCGGAGTTCTGCTGGTATTAAAGGCATGCCCCACCATGCGTGGCTGTCCTGGAGCTCACTCTGTAGTCCAGGCTGGCCTTGACACATGCCGTGATGCACACGAGGAGGGCAGAGGACAGCTTTGTGGAGCCCGTCGTCGTCTTCTTGTGGGTTTGGGGAATCATGCTCAAGTCATGGGATTTTCAAGGCAAGCTCTTGTATCTGCCAAGCTGTCTTGCCAACCCTGAGCCAGAGCCAGACTTGAGTGACGTGTAAAGGAAGAAGCCAGAGTGGGCATCTATGGGAAGAATACGTTGGGCGCACAAACTGTGTGCAGAGGCCTGAGGTAGGACTGACTGTGTTGTTTCGTTTTGGCTTTTGGAGACACAGTCTCGCAGAGCCCAGGCTAACCTCAAATTCACTAGGTCTCCAAGGAGGACCTTAGGGACCTTCCCAAGTGCTGGGATTACAAGTGTGTGCCTCCGTGCCTGGTGAGGACCGTGGCTGAGGACTAGAAAGGAGGCCGGGGGAAGCCAAGTCTGGTACGCCATGACTCATGGTGGTTCATTCAGGCATTTGCTGTAAACGGGGCAGAGCCACATCTGGATCGGAGGAGCGTCGTGACCAGCCATGGCCTCCAAAGGCAGCAGTGGGTTTTGTTTGTGCTGCTTGGCCTCTCAGGCCTCGGCCCAGCATTCAGTGCTGGTTCAGTGAACATTTGTCGTACAAATGGGACGTGTCGGGACACGTGGGGCCGTGGGGTTGCCCCTCTGGGCTCCGTGTGTAGATGTGATGTGATCTATCACGCCCTGTTCTGCGCGTGCTCATGGGCTTCGGTGCTTGTGGGCATCCGCATTCGGCGGGAACAGCCTCCGGGGCAGCCTGGGTGGCTGTTCTCAGTGTTGCCGTTACTTCAGGGGTCCTGGGGTGCCCAGCTGGAGATGAGGTACCCAGTGGACAGGCTGGAGGAGGGCCTGTCCCTGCTTCTGACCTTCGTTCCTCCCGTCCTCAGCTCCACGGAGAAGAACTGCTGTGTGCGGCAGCTGTACATTGACTTTCGGAAGGACCTGGGCTGGAAGTGGATCCATGAGCCCAAGGGCTACCATGCCAACTTCTGTCTGGGGCCTTGCCCCTACATTTGGAGTCTTGACACACAGTACAGTAAGGTAGGTCTGGCCCGTGGGACAGGATGGAGCAAAGGCGGGGTTGGTCGGGGGGGGGGGGGGGGGAAAGAGGGAGGTTGGACCAGTGTGGAGTCAGCAGGATAGGGTGGAAGGGAGACAGGGGACAGAAACAGGGAGAAGCAGAGAGAGATGAGAGTCAGAGAGCTGGCTGGGGAGAGCGGGTGAGATGCAGAAGCAGATTGGGAGGGTTGGAGATGGGAAATGAGTGAGTGATGGGAGAATCAGTGATGAGAGATAAGGAGAGACAGGGATGGGGACAGATGAAAGAGACAAAGGGATGGAAGCCTTTGGAAGAGAGACAATGGGAGAGTTGGGAGATAGGAAGAGACAAATGGAAGTGGGAGAGATAGGGAGGCAGGGAGATGGAAGTTGGGGAGCGACTCAGAGATAAGAGACAGAAATGTAGAGATGGACAGATGGGCAGAGTCCGTGGGACACCGATAGTGACCCTGGCCCGTCCGCAGGTCCTTGCCCTCTACAACCAACACAACCCAGGCGCTTCGGCGTCGCCGTGCTGCGTGCCGCAGGCGCTGGAGCCGCTGCCCATCGTCTACTACGTGGGCCGCAAGCCCAAGGTGGAGCAGCTCTCCAACATGATCGTGCGCTCCTGCAAGTGCAGCTGAGGCCCCGCCCCGCCCCGCCCCGCCCGGCAGGCCCGGCCCCGCCCCCGCCCCGCCCGCTGCGCCCGGGGCTGTATTTAAGGACACTTGCACCCCTGAGCCCACCTGGGGAGCCCATTAAAGGTGAGAGAGGACTGCTGGTCTCCGTGTAATTGGGCGCCACGTCGCGTCGCCCTCCTTGCAGAGGCTCTGGCGCCTTGTCCCGTCCTGTGGCACCGCCTCCAGCCCTCCGTACTGAACGCCTGCTTTGACCCCAGGATTCCGGTGGGCAAAGCTGGGAGCAGGGGGAAACCCGATTAGGCCGCGTTCGCAGTACTTCTGCCACTGCGCATCTGCTGAGACAATCCGGAAGAGCCTGACTTCCTGCTGTCTGGCGTGAGAATTGTAGAAGAGGGGGGAAAATGCTGCTTCCACGGGTTGTGTTTTGTGGTGGCTCACGTGACGAATGCCCGCGCTCTAGGAGGCAGAGGCGGGTGCATCTCCGAGGTTTAGGCTAGCCGGGGCTGTATGGTGGGACCCTGTCTCAAGCCACAGACCACAAAGTGCTGGTTCAGAGTTGGGGGTGGGGTGCTGAAATGCCAGCACTGGCAAGGAAGCCAGAGAATGAGGCACTTCCGGGCTCCATCAGACCCTGTCTCAGGACAAAACAACAGTGGTGGCTCACGAGGGGGCAGAGCTGGGTGGATCTTCAAGTTCAAGGCCAGCCTGGTCTGCAAAGTGGGTTCCAGGACAGCCAAACCAAAGTTCAAAAACCAGTTCAGTGTTTGGTGTTGGTGGCCGCCATGTGGCCTAGGAGGAAGTGGCATTTCAGATCTGAAGGAAGCTTAAGGAACGGATTCGGTGTGTGTGGGGGGATAGTCTTGGAAGACGGAAGTGACAAGGGACAGCCATTTTGGGGTGTGCCACCCCGTGAGGAACAACATGACTGGAAGGGAACAGGGATGGGCACTGAGTCAGAGCTAACCCTCCTACGCGTCAGGTGTGTGGCTGCTCACAGGCTCTTCCTATAGCCTAAGGGAGCAGGGTTTGGCAAACTTTGGCCCATAGCCTGCCCCAGCCTATAGCCTGTTTCTGTGGATAAGGTTCTGTTGCCCACAGCCACACTCTCCCTTCCTCCACACACTGTAGCTGTATTGCTGTGTCTGCAGCCTGGTGTGTGTGTGTGTGTGTGTGTGTGCGTGTGTCTGTGTGCGTGTGCGCGCGCGCGCGCGCGCCAGAGACAGTACCTGGTCCTTCAGAAAAAGCCTGCTTTAATCGGTGTGGTGGTGTATGCCTGTAATTTGAACAGGAGGCAGAAGCAGGAGAGCACAGCAAGTTCAAAGCCAGTGTGATCTGCATAATTCCCAGACGGCCAGAGCCTGACTGGACCCTCCCGTTCTCTCCAAAAGCTCACTTACCCATTTTGGGAGACCGTGTGCTCTTTGCAGGAAGATGCGCCCACACATGGGAGCTGTTATTTCTTAAATCCACTGAAGTAGTGAGTTTTGTGGCGTATCAAGAGTATGGGACCCTGGGAGAACTTGGGGGATGCATAGTATTACCAGATGACCTAATAAACAGTACAGGGCCTTGTCTCTGGTAAGTCACGGAGTTAAAATGAGTGTGTGTGTGTGGAGTGAGAGTGACCTCAGGGAAATACATTACCCAGGCAAGATATACTGGAGGCTGGAGCCCAGCGGGTGCTGTGTTCCATCTCCCCATCTGTTGGAATGAGCTGGTGAGTTCTCTGCTGCTTCCTCTGTCTCCTCTCTTCTGGGTTTCACTTCCCTTGCCCCCTGCCTTCCTCAGGCCCCCAGGGCTCCTGGACTTGGTTTTCTCTCAGGGATTGTCCGGGAGGCTGGCGGGCAGTACAGTTCCTATGGTCTAAGGAGGCCTCCCGGCCTCTTCCCAGTCTGGGTGTGAGAACTCTGAGGACCAGGCTGGGGGGCTGGGAGAGCTCACTCTGTAAAGACAGTTGTCACAGGAGCTCACAGCACTGAAGACTGGCCCCAGCAGAGACAGAAGCGAGGACACAGCCTGGATCGCTGTCCCTGGAGTCCCTCAGGGATTGCTGAATGGCTCTCACCATCCCTAGCAGACACCAAAATATGGACAGTGTCCCACGACCACACCAATGCATTCAACTCTCAGGACCTGGAGGTTCTGACACCTGGCAGCAGTCACAGGCCACACCACGTATGCAGACTATAAACTAGCCCAGCCCCGGGGCCTCCCAGGGACAGGGCGTGGGTAGAAAGTCCGATAGAAAAGGCCGTCTCACAAGTGCAGTTCTCAGCCGTGGCTCTACCGCATGCCAGACGGTGTCCCAACACAGCAGACGCATCCCAGCTCTGGAGCCCTGTTGGGAACCGGTCTCCCCCCAGCAGCCACACAAACATCCTCCATGGGGTCATGCCCATTGCATGACCCGTTGCAAACCCTCTCATACCACACACACTGAGGTCCCGAACACGTCATGACTCCAGCCACGACTCCAGCCAGACGACTGGCTCTGCTGTCACAGCTACCGGCTGACACCCTTCACACACACCCACTTGCTGGGGAGTCCCAAGGGGCCCCACAGACCCAGACGCAGTCACACCCAGGATCCCAGACGTAGCAGCTCCCACGCACCCGGACACACCCCCAGGGCTGCTGAACCCTTCCTCACACCGGCCACCCAGCCCGCCCACCTGCCTGTTGCTCCCCACAGGCCCGGCTGGCGGGCACGGGGGAGGGGAAACTGCAGGCACAGCACCCCTGCTGGCCCTTGTTCTGCCCACTGCCCTGGCACTTGGGCTCGCCGGTGGCCCGACCCATCCCTCCTGCCCAGCGGCTTCTACCTCAGGCCTCCTGGCATGGGGTTGCTGGTGGGAGGGAGCCTGGGTTCCGGCTGTAGCCCCGGCTTCCTGTCCAGCTCTCGGGGCAGGAAGCAGTCCAGGAGGCCTGCACAGGCCTTCCTGCCCCCGTCCTGGACCTGCTGGGGCCTGGGGGAGTGGGGAGGGGACCGGAACAAGATTCCCCTTGAAAGCCTGCTTCCCCGGCATGGCACACACAGTACCAGTGTGTTTTGTCTCCAGTGTGACTTCATAGGTGTTCAGAACCCCCCCCCCCCCCCCGCCCCTGGTTGCTGGAAGGCTTTTGGCCAGCATGGTATTGTCAGTTTGGGGGGGTGTGTTCAGCTCCCCGTTTGTGGCCAGTGAGTGCCACATTTCTGCTGAGTGTCTGCTGCCTCCCATTTTTGGCTGGGCAAGCTGGGAAGGTTCTCTCTGTGGGCTCTCTGCTGGCACTCGTGGCTGGTGAGAGTGTACCAGTGGGACGAGTTTTTAGTCTGATTTTTTTTTTTTTCTTCAGCATCTTCACAGTTCTCTGGGTGTAAAATTTTACAGCTTTAGTGTCAGTTCCACTTGAAACCAGGGTTGTTGGTTTTGTTTTTCTTTTTCTTTTTTTAATGCTTGTGGTCTGTGAGAAGGACTTTCTGGAAAGGTGTTGTGTGTTTTGTTTCTCACATGAGCTGTTTTTGATACACACGTATGATAGTTTCTGGTGTCTGTGTGCCTTGTGGGTGTGTGATTTGTGAGTTAAAATTGTGTGTTTTTAAAGACTTAGTTTAACATTTTTAAGTATGCACACGTGAGTGCGAGGTCAGCGGCCGGGCTGAGAACGAGAGCGTAACTCCAGGCCTCGTGTGCTAGGGAAGTGGTTTTAATCTTTACTCACGGTCTTTGAACTCCTAATTGTCCTGCTGCTCGCTCTAGAGCAGCGGTTCTCAACCTGTGTGTGGAGACCCGCTTTGACAAGCGGGTCTTCGAAAAACCTTTGTTGAAAAGGTTTTCAAACAACCTTTTCACAGGGTTCACCTAAAACCATTGGAAAACCTAAATACTTACGATTTATAGTGGCAAAACTATGTTAGAAAAATTAGTTATGAAGAGCAATGAAAACAATTTCACCGACTGTGTTAAAGGGTCGCAGCACGAGGAAGGCTGAGGCCGGCTGCTCTCCAGTGCTTGGGTTTCGGCTCTTATGCCCCAGGCAAGCACTGTACCAGCCGCGTGACAGCCTCGCCCTGAGGGCAGCGTCCTGTGGTTGCTGTTTTGTTCATGGAGTAACAGGTGGTTCACAGTTTGCATCCATGGTGCTCGGCGTGTGTGTGAGAGGCAATGCCGGGCTCTGAGGCCTGCCCGTCCCTTTAGATGGGTTTCAGCTAGGGTGGGCATCTGTGCGCAGGTGGAGCTGGTTCTGTGGGCTGGTGGCTTCTGCGTGTGAGTTGTCTAGGCCACTTTTGAAGGTGTCAGGGTTAGGACTGGGGGCGGGGCAGGGTGGCCGGCACCCTTCACTGCTGTTTTCGTGCGAAGCCGTTGGCTGTTGTCTGACCGGTGCTGCTTGGCCTTTGTGCCGAGTGGAGCCTGTCTGCGGTGTCCCTTTGCTGGCGGGTGCCACGCTGGCTCAGAGCTGGCTGTGGCAGCGGGTAGGGCAGGGCAGGGCAGGGGCTGTGGTGGGCACTGGCCTCACGCCCAGCCTGGGTATAAATATCCCCGGGCTGCCCGCCGCTGTTTACCCGGCCCCAGCCCTGGGGGCGGCAGCAGCCCAGCGAGTCCTGGGGGTGGGGGTGGCCAGGCCACAGCGTAGACATTTCCTTCTGCTCAGACGGGCCGGCAGCCTTGCTGCCCTCTTGTGGGTGGGGGCAAGGTGGTGACCCCTTCTTTAGGTTCCTGGGCCACCCGTGGAGCTCTGACCTGGATGTCCCAGGGTCTGGGAGACAGACGGGAAGGGGGTGGACTAGGAGACAGCAGGGAGAGGGACAGGAAAGAGGGTGAAGGCTGAAAGGGGGTGGGCGTGCGTAGGGGTGGGGCAGGCCACTGACAAAGGTGGCAAGAGCTCAGAGCCTGGTGACCGACAAGGGACAGAGACATGTGTTGGGGGATTGCAGCCAGGGAGGAGATAACAGACAGCAGAAAGAAAGGAGGACAGAATGGGGCAGGCAGGGACCTCCCCAGAAAGGAGCTGAGGCTGGCGGAGCAGGCAGTGGGAGAGATGGGGGAGGGGGTAGGCACAGGCGCAGGACAACACCCAGCTTAGACCTGGCCAGGGCAGGCCAGGCAGGAGACATGGGGTGGGGGCCGGATGCCCATGGAGGGGCTCTCCCTCCCTGACTCAGCCTCTCTGCCTGCCTGTCCTCAGGACCCAGATCAGAGAAGCCAGCGACTGTGGGGGCTGCACAAGCAGGGCGTGCCTTTGCTGTCTCTGCCCCCTTCTGTCTCCACCTTTCTTCCTGTCTCCTCATCTAATCCCTGTCCTTGTGGCCAGCCCCACCTCTGTCTCTCATTTGCAGACTGAACCATCTGACTAACCCCAGATCCTGACTCAATGGCTGTGTGGCTCAGCTCTTTTTAAAAGTTACATAACAGACTGATGGATGACAGAGTTTCTAAAGTAAATTTAATGATCCGGACAGCAACTGAAAATACATGAGCCAACACAAGTCCCCAAAAGAGCACTCCTGGCTCCTGTCCAGTGTGGCTGGACCCTGGGGGACAAGGGTGGGGCTGTAACTGCTTAGCACCCGCCACCATAGCACGAGCCACAACACCTGCACCTTCTGTTGTCTTCGAGGCCTGAGGAAGTCCGTCTTCCTGTCTCCACCACTGTCCAGCTCGGGTAGTCACCTGGTGGCCAACTGGCCGAGAGGCGTGGAGGGTTATGTGCCAGTCTTGGCTCTACCTGGGAGGCCAGCTGGTCTCAAGGTGCACATGGCTACTGCTGGGCCCTTTCCATCCATCGTTGGTGACAAGTGGCAGTTGACATTGTGGTTCTAGGGTTGTCAGGAGGCCTGGCCCTGGCTGAGCTGCTGAGGATCTTTTGCTACTTTAAGTAGCTCTCTGCGAGTTTAGTTGACCCAGAGGGCAGAGCCAAGATCCAGGGGTCAGGACCTTGGCTCCACAAAGCAGTTTTGAGGGTCCTTCAGGTATGTCCAGAGCAGAGTGCCAGCCACCACCATTCTGTCTCCAAGCAGCTTGGACCCTCAGGGCCAGACGTGCTAGCACCCTGTTCTCAGGAGCAGGTCCCTGTGGTCTGCTGGGGCTGCCAGGGCTGGGTGTGGGGCATGGGAAGGTAGGACGTCTGGGTTCCCACAGGCCACGGCTGAGTCACAAACAGCCATCTGGCTCTCATTAGCCCAGGGCAGCAGGGGGCTCTGTGGGGTGGGCCCTGTGGCCGGCTGGGGGCAGGGACACTGGGGCAGGCTGTGTGTCTGTGGTGACTCAAGACCATGATAACAGGCTGTGCGCATTTGGGGAGTGTAAACAGGAGAGGGAGAAGGAGGTGGAGGAAGTGAAGAAAAGGAAAATTGTGGCTGGGAAGGGGGGCTGGGGGGAAAAGAGTCCCCGCCTTCAAGTTCCTCCTATACTGGCTCTGTGGTGCCCAGCTCTGCCTCTGCCAGCACTCTCAGCCAGTGTCCACACGTACCAGAGGAGGCTTGTGCCACCTGGGTTCCCTTGACCCCTGCCCTCAGGGAAGGCTTCTGCTGCCCTTGGCTGCCAGGCCTGGGGGAGGGGACATAGAGAACCAGAGTCATAAAGGCTGAGACAGAGGGATAGACAGCAAGGTCTGGAGAGAAATGAAATGAACAAGGAGGCCTGAAGAGTGAGGTGGGACCTCTGGAGAAGCAAAGTGGTGCCCAGTGTAGGACATGGGGACAGAGGGGTGGGGAAGCCCAAAGCTGTGCTGGGGACCAGGTGTGCTTGAAGTACATGCTAGCATCTGTGTGACAGTTGGCAACTGCCAGGTGACTGTTGGGGCCCTGCTGGGGGCACAGAAAGGCAGAGGGTGGACCTAGGAAGCTAGAGGAGGCAGTGACACCAGAGAGGGGAAGAACAAGCCAGGCAGGCCAGGCATGGTGACTCACCTGCGGGCACAGCGTGTGAGAACTGAGGCAGGAGTACGGAGTTTCAGACTAGCCTTGGCTACAAAGAGAGTAGCAGGCTAGCTGGTGCTCCTCAGCAAGGTCCTATCTCAAAGAGAGAAGCACTGGGTGCGGTGGCACAGGCCTTTAATCCCAGCAGGCAGGAGGAAGGGGCAGGTGAGCTCTGGGAGCTCAGGGCCAGCATGGGCTGCAAATGGAGTCCCGGACAGCCAGGGCCACAGAGAAACCCTGTTTGGGGTGGGGTGGGGGTGAGGGGAGACAGACAGACGGACGTAATGATGTTCCTGGGGAGAAGAGTGGGAACCTGTAAACAAAGCGGAGGTGATGGTCCCAGAGTCACTAAGCCAGCCTGTCATCAGCTGCCAACATGGGTGGCTGCCAGGGCGGGGGCAGTCAGTCCCCATCCAGGTCTAGCTTGGGCACATCCTCAGGCTCCTCTTCATCAAAGTAGCGCTCCTCCTCGTCACGAGCCACGATGTCCAGGTTGTCAAAGTCGGGGTTGTCATCCACCGTGCTGCAGGAGGAAAGCCGTCAGCGGCTGGGCACGGAGGCCCAGGTCTGGGGACCTGACCCCTGGGTACCCTGGGGCCTTCTGGAATCCCAAAGGGGGGCCTTCCCAACCAGTCTACATAAAAAGGCTTCTCAGGTCCTGCCTCTAAGGGCCACCCGGCCCCACTGGCCCCACTACTGTGGATCTGCGTCACCACCGCTCTGCATGGGAGGGGTCTCCTTCAGGCAGGGAATCTCGCATGCACCTGTCCCTTGCTTTAACCCTAGCTCTGGCCTCTGCTGCCCTCCTGAGGGCACAGGTCTGGGCCTACCTCTGACGTCCTTGGGGCTCCCTAGTGTGGCAGCAGGGCCGGCCCACAGGGGCCACGCCCACTGCGCAGCCTTGGTGGCCCCAGCTGGCACTACATGAATCCCACATGCGGGATGGACCCCATGTCGGCTGTTAGCAGGGTCCCTGTTCCACTGAAGCTATTTGTGGACACAGTACACATGCCATTGGGCCTGGGTGTAGGCAGGCAGGGTCCTGAGCTGCCAGCCCCAGGGATGAAATCATAAGGAAGAGACTGGCTCAAATGACAGCCATTTATCTTTTTTTTTTTTTTTTTCCCTTCCTTCTTTCCTTTTCCTTGAGTCAGCGTCTTACGTCACCCTGGCTGGAACTCAAGAGATCCAACTGCCTCTGCCTCCAAGTGCTGGGATGAAGGTGTTGTGTCATCAGGCTTCACTTCAGTGTTTTGTCACAACCCCCAGAGTGACTGACACCAGGACCCACGGTGGGGAAATAGTTCAGGGCCCTCTAGCGCCATTAAGGGGGTCCCTCTGAGGCTAGGTGGGGACCTGCTTGTGGCTGGGAGGCACCTGTAGTCGAAGCCCCCGTCTTTGCCGTCCAAGAAGCGCTGGTGCATGCGGCTGGTGAACTCCATCCGCAGGATCAGCCTCTCTTCCAAGTCGGGCACCCAGGCCTCCGTGTCTTTGTCTGATGTCTGGTCTGTGGAAACACCCAGGAGTGTGGCCTGAGGGACTCTGACAGGCTACCGTCCTATGTCCAGCCCCGTGCTGTCAAGACAGCCCAGTCCCTGCCCTTCTGGGGCGCACACCGGATGCAGTGGTCATGCTGGGCCCTGGAGACTGGAAGAGATGGCAGGCAGCGGGTGAGGCCAGACCTTCTCGTCTCACAGGTTGGGGCCCAGCTGGGTGACACCACATGGGGAGACAGGCCTGGCAGGGTGGCCTGCTCCTGGCCCTTACCTTCCTCATCACTGTCCTCCTCTTCCTCAAAGCAGGCCTCCTCCTCTTCCTGCTGCCTGAGCAGCTGCTGCTGCAGCTCCCGTTCCTGGTAGGACTGAAACAGCAGGTCGGAGAGTGGATAGGAAGGTGTGCTGGGGGCGCCGGGCTTGGGGGCCTGGGGGGCCGGGGTGCGCGCGCTGAGCTCTTCCTCTGTGAGGTACTGTCCTATGTACTGCTCATAGAGCAGCGGGGCGCGGATCCGCATCTGCTCGTCGCTGAAGTACTCGCCGCCTGTAGGCAGGAGGCAGGATGTGTGTGAGCACACGTGCCTGAGCATGGACTCGTGTGCCCTGTCTGTAAGATGTGTGCATTTGTACGTGATAAACCACCCACAGGGGCCTGAGGTCTGTGGGGCACTGAGTGCGCAGCCTCGGTGGAGCCACTGGTAGCCAAGGCTGGCGTCTGATTCAGAGTCTCCTGCTGGCTTCCCAAACTCTAGGGCATGACCCACCACACCAGGCTCTTCTTCCTTCGTGCTCTGCACCTGTGTTTTTCTCAGGGTGGCCTTGTGTCCCCTAAGCCACACGTAAATCCCCACCCTGGCTTCCAGCAGTGCTTTCTGTGCATGGTGTGCAGACGGCAACGCCTGTTCCTTAGTGGCAAGTGAGCACCAAAATGCCGTGCGTGGCGTTAGTGTAGCCATCTGAATGCCACTCCTGCCAGTGCCTGAAAGGCTTAGGCAGGGGAATCTGAGCAGTGCGCCAGCTGCCACGCTGTCATCCACTGAGTTCTGACCCTGTCTCCTGGTGTGCCTGGCTCCTTCCCCAGGACCTTTCTGTCCCTGGAGTTACTGGGGGTCTGGCTTCCTGCACCCTCTTGCTCGGCTTGAGCCCTGCCTCCCTCCCACCCCCTCCCACCTTGGATGAGCTCGCGCAGGGCAGCGTATCGGCGGTTCCGAAGGCGGGTGCGCAGGGTTCGGGGGCGGGCAGTGCCCTGGCGGGCCACCTCGGCACAGTAAAAGTCGGCGCGGTGATCCCCGCGCAGGTGGCCGAAGCAGCCCAGGTGCTCTTCTCGGAGGCCCGCACGGAAGCGCTCCAGGAACACCAGCGGCTTCTCGTGGTACAGCTGGCGCAGGATGGCCACCTTCTCATGCTCTGTCAGGTCGGGCTCACCCTGCTGCTGACTGCACACAGGCAGGTGGCTGGCAGCGATGGCACGCAACATGGCACTCACAGCCGGGCTCTCGGCCTGGGAGGCCTCGCCATCCGGGACGCCATCCGGGACGCCTGGTGTGCTGGCCGCTGCATCCTTGTCCTGGGGACCAGACGGAATGGAAGTCTGGCTCAGCTCACCCCAGTGCACACGTCTGGGTTCCACAGAGTCTGTGGGACAAGAGGAGTCTTTAGTTAAAGGCTGGCAGGGCATCAGGGTAAGGGGGCTCAGGCAGGAGGCTGGGTGCTGACACACTCACCCAGCTCGCATTTACTGAGCACCTACTATATTCTGGTGAACGCTCTAGGCCCTAGACAGATCATGGTGAGCAAGTGGTCCCTCTGAGATGCTGAAGTCAATAATCTAATTAACTAACAAATACATGTGTGTTAAGTGTTTCCCTGGCTGTGGAGAAAAACAGAGACAGAAGCCTGGCACACCTTTAATTCCAGCATGGTGGAAGCAGAGGCAGGTGGATCTCTAGGAGTTCAAGGCCCGCCAGGACTATACAGTGAAACTGAATCTCAGAAAACAAATGCACAACAATAGAAACCTAAAACCAATAATGATGATGACGACGACGGTGGTGGTGATGCGTAAACACGGGAGGCCATGTGAGGACGGCAGTTTCATCAGAGGGTAACAATACTAAGGCTTGCCAGGAAAGTGACGTCTCGTGGCTGGACAGATGGCTCACCACTTGCAAGCTGCTCTTCCAAAGTCCAGTTTGAAATCCTAGCACCCACACGGCGGCTCACAACTGTCTTCTAACTGCAGTGAAGGGGTGGAACACCTTCTGGCTTCCCTAATACAGACTTGTGATTCACACACATGTATGCGGACACAACACCTAACAGATAACATGGAAATTGAGTGTTTCTTTTTAATGACAGCTGAGAGAAGAACTGAGGTGCTGAGGCTGTTCTGCACTTCTGGGGAAAATAGTGTTCTCATCGGTGCAGGCCCTGAGGACTCTGCCTGTTTCCTTGGTGACATTAAGATACTTTCAATGACTTGTCGAGTGACAACGGTGGCTTGAATAAGAATGCCTCCACAGGCTCATGCATTTGAATGCTTAATCACCAGGGCGTGCACAATTTGAAAAGATTAGAAGGATTAGGAGGTGTGGCTTTGCTGGAGGAAGAGTGTCACTGGGTCTCTGAGGTTTCACAGTTAATGCCAAGCCTAGAGCTTCTGTCTGTAGATCAGGATGGAGCTCCCAGCTGCACCTGCCCGAGGCCTGCACTGCTGCTCTAGTTAACACCCGCCTGCACTCGGCCTGCGCTGCTGTTCTAGCACCTGCCCGCCCCCTGCCATGCTCCCACCATGACGACAACGGACTAACCTATGAGACTGTGAGCCAGCCCCAACTAAATGCTTTTTTTAATGTGAGTTGCCGTGGTCATGGTATTTCTTCACAGCAACAGAACAGTAACTAAGACAATGACCGACATGCTCATTCACTTCCCCTTAGGTATCCCACACCCCCCAATCATTCTCAAGTCTGTGGGAAGTCCTGAGCCAGGAGTGTGGCCTGCCCTAGGGCAAACCCCTACAGGCTCTGCTCTCAAGCGAGGAGGCCAGTCTGATATGGGAGGTCATGATTAAAGAAAGATGACTTATGCGACAAACAGGAAACCCAGACGCTGGGTAAAGCCAGCTGTTTTCAAGGGTAGGAGGGAACTTCAGCCAGCAGGCGTCATTCTCAGCTAACTGACTGGGATGAGCAGGAGAGGGGGATGCCCACAATGGGTACTGTGGGTATCAGTCACCGAAGCAAGAGAGGCTGGAGCTGGAGCAGGGGCTGGGAGCTGGGAGGAGGGTCAGGAAGGTGCCGGAATGGACAAGCCATGAGGGTGGAGGCCTGTGTGGGTTAGGGGAAGGGCCAGCGCTCTGGCCTAGGGGACAGCCAAACCACCCCAGAGACAGGGACACAGGTGAGAAGCAGACTGAGCTAGGGAAACTGCCTTGGGTACAGGGGACCTTTGAGAGGTCATATCTAAGAAAGTGATGGGACACGGACCTCCAGGCTCCCCCAGAGAAAGGTCCAGAACTGGAGACATGGTTGTCAGAGCTGGGCAGAGGCAGGCCATGTGAAGCGGAGTGTGTGCAGACAGAACACAAAGCAGATGCTGTGTGTGGGGAGAGGACATCCTGGCGAGAGCTAAGAACCAGGTCCCCCAAAGACAGACACGTCTTAATTACTGGACCCTGTAACGGTAGTGGGAGGGGAGAGGAAAGCGTCTCTACAAGTATAATTAAGGCTCTTGAAAAGTGAGAGCTTATTCTGGATTAAATATCCAAAATGTAGTAAGAGACACTGAGGAAGGGCTGAAGAGATGGCTCAGAGGTTAAGGGCGCCAGCTGCTCTTCCAGAGGTCCCAGCTTTGATTCCCAGCCCCTATCACAATCATTTGTAATCCAGTTCCTGGGGCTCTGATGCCCTCTTCTGGCCTCTGTGGGCACCAAGCACACACATGATACACAGACATGCATCTGGGCAAAGATTCCATACACATACAACAACAAAATGGAAAACTATGAGAGACCAAGGAAGATCAGACACACAGGGTGTGTCTATGAGGGTGGAAGCAGAGACCAGACTGCAGGCCAACAAGTGCCAGGAGCCATCTCTGAAAGGAAGTGACAAGCAACAGCCTAGAGCCTGTGGTTTATTTCTGTCTGGTAATGGTAAGTTCAGATTTCACTTCTGTTCATTTAAAACACCCAGTTTCTGGTAACGTGGAATGGCAGTAATAAGGAAAAACCAAGGGCTAAGAAAGAGCAGCCTGAGACACAGGAAAGAAGCAGAGCATGCTGTCTCCCAAGGCCAGCTTGCACTGGCTCCTGTAAGCAGTACCGTAAGAAAACAGTGTGGATGCTGGACAGGGTGGCATACACATGGAGTCCCAGCACTCAGGAGGCTGGGCTACAGGGTGAAACCCTGCCTCAAATAAACAGACAAATAAGCGTTCAAACAAACACTGAAAATGTAACAAAACAACAAAGCTAGTCAACCAGATCAGCAGCCATGCCTAACTGCACGTGGAGGCAGCACTGGGCTCCTCCGTCACTGGACGCGCTCAGGGGAAAGCCAGGTTGGGGTGGGTGGTAGGGCAGAACATGCTGAGCAGTGCACACCACGCTGAAGAAGTCAGGTGAGGGCATTGTAAGGGCCAAGGGGCACACCGCCCGTTTCTTTTGATAAAAATACTTGGGAGTGCCAGGACTACCGTCCTGCTCCACCACAAACGGTACACGGGGACAGGGGGGCTTCAGGCATGCTAGGCAAGGATTCCTATAAGCCATAGCCTCAGATCCTGGCTTTGAACTTCCCATCCTCCTGCCTCAGGCTCCTGATCATAGGTCTGTCTCACCACGTCTTGCTCCAGAGTCTCTTTTAGGTTTGGAGGTATGGCTTAGTAGTAGCAAGTATAATTAGCATTCATAAGGCCCAGGGCTTGAGCCCTAGCACCAAAAAGTTTATAAGATATATACAATTTTATTATGGAAAACCACAAACATCATATACATACACACGTATTCATATATGTATATATATATTTTGTGAGGCAGGGACTCACTCTACAGGGTCTCATCTTATAACCCAGAACTCACTATGTAGTCCAGGCTGTCTTCAAACTCAAGGCTGACCTCCTGCCTCAGTCTCCCAAGTGCCAGGTTTACAGGTGTAAGCCACCACAACCGAAGCTTTTCAAAGACTGAAACCCACAGAGGTAGAACTCATAGACACCCGTCTCTACATTCATAACCCGCTATTCAGCTTCAGTAGGGTCCCGATTCTTGGTTGTCAAGTGGCTTCTTGTATACCTCACCCCACGTCGACTACTCTGAAACAGGGAGTTTTTAAAGTGAGCAAGACAAAAGCATTTTAAAGGCAGGCATGGTAGCACAGGGCTGTCACCCCAGCGCCTTGGAGGCTGAGACAGGAGGAAGGCAATTTGGAGGCCAGCCTGACTATATAAAGAGTGACTGGGAAAACAAAACAACGCAAAAACAAAACACTCAGGCAATACTTGTGGGAAGTCAGTAGACAAGGGAAAGCCATTGAAGGTGCGAGCGAAAAGGGACCTAAGGAGCAGAATGGCCTGCAGACTTTGGGGGTGGGGGAAGTTGGAATGCAATGGGAACTGTTGGTTTGCTGTAGTGAGCTTGCACGGGACAGGAGGAGAGCTAGCTTGGGGCACAGAAAAACTCAAGTTGGCATAGAAAGATGTAACTTGAGAAAGGTTGGTCTGAGACTGGAAGACTCGCACGGGAGTTTATTTCTGCTTGAGGCGTCGGCATGGTGAGAAATGGGTTGGCCTAGGACACGGAAAGGGGTTCATTTCGAAGGAAATGGAGGGAGACGTCCACCCGCCACAAGGCCGAATAACCTGACCCCAAAGTGGAACAAGGGATGAACGTGCCGGTAAACTGAGGTCAGACTTCCTAGAGAGTCCTCTCAGCGTTTGCCGGAACCGTTTCCTGGTCACACCACACGAGCACCCTCCCGTCGCGGGCGCCTGGCCAGAGCCTCACCATCATCGCTCTTCCTCTCCGCCACTGCCGCGGCTGCCAAGGCCTCCATGACAGTCCTCTCCGATGCACTAACCGCCGCCGCAGGCCGCGGAGGCCACTCAGGACCCTAGGAACCCGTACTCATTTCCGGCTAGTGTCTCGGGCCCAGGGCTTAAGCTGCACCCAGGCACCAAAGTTCCGGGTCAAAGGTGGATCTTTATGCGCATGCGCAGCCCCGCCTCCGGCAACCTGGTACAACAGAAGGGCGCTAGGTCTAGCGGATTTATCCTTAGCCCGTCAAATCGGAGGGTCGACGGGGATCCCGTCTTTTGGGACCTGCTGTAACTCCAGCTCCTCTCGTGGCTAATATTTGGAATGGTTGTTGCCTGAGCACCCTCCAGGAACAGGAACATCGCAGACTCTCGAATATGCCTTTTAATTAAAACGTTTATGTAATCAGGGGACGGCTTCTGGGAGTGGGGATAGAATTCAGTCGTCAGGATGGGCAACAACCGTCTTGAAGCGCTGAGCCGTCTCACCCACCTTTGTGCTCTTTGTAGGTTTGACTTCCAGCCTGTGGCTAGCGTGAGCGGAGGTCAGGGAGAGTACCTCTGTGTTTCCAAAAACGGAGGGAGCTGCAGATGTGAGGGACGAGTGTGGGAATTCGTGGAAACGGGGCACGCGGGGAAGGCGGGGAGCTGCCCATCACAGGCTGAGCCGGAGGCTTTCAGGTAGGGATATGGCCCAGATAAGACCTGAAGGGACGGGCAGTTGTTTCTGGCAGTTTGGCTGGCATGGGTATTTCTCGGTGCTGTAACACTTTACTATGGACAGGGCAGACAGCAATCGGAGGCAGAGAAGTCACTGGGGGTCTGAGCCAGCCTGTCCCTTGGCGAGTTCCAAGCTAGACAGGGTTTTATAGCAAGGTTTTGTCCCAAGAAAGCGTAACAGCAAAAGAGGGTCCCACAGCATAGAGGGTTTCATAGTCCTGAGGTGGCCGGAGCCTACAGCGTTTGGGGAAGGGAACCAAGGAAAGGAACTGGAGAGCGTTATGAGGAAGCTGGTGCATAAATCTAGAAACAGGCTCGAGGAGGGAGAACTCGGCTTGCATTCCGCTCAGATGCTCATCAGAGAGCTAATCAGCTGCATCTTCAGGAATGGCCAGCAGAGGGCGCTGCTGCCCATCACCGGAGCAGGACCCTTCCTGCTCCCTTTAGGGCGGCCCCCAAGCCCTGCAACTACTGGGCCTTCTTCCTGGCGTTCCTAGGCCCCGGTGCACTGTGAAAGGTATGCATAGCCCTCTTGAGGGAAGTGGGATACAGGCCTGTGTCGCCACCCCTAGCTCTTTTGGCAGGTTGTGTCCCTTCCAAGGCTCCCCGGTTCCTACAAGGGAGGTGGGCTGAGTTGTGCACACTGGCTCAGATGTGAAACGCACTGCTTGCACAGGAGAGAAATGAAGCTAAGCCCCAAAGCTCAGCCTGCATTCTCTTCTCCAGAAAGCTCTTTCCATTACTCCAGGGTCACTGGTTACAAATTTGTAGTCCCTGGAGGTAAGACTCTTGAGAACAGGGGCGAGGGCCACCTCTGCAGTGCTCAGGGTCCCCAGTACAGTCCAGGATGGTGAGGAACAGCAGGAGGTAGTGCAGGCTTTCGTGACAGCAGCATCCAGGACAGGCCTTAGGCTAGGAGTATCCCCAATACACCTGGGGAAGAGGCCTGAGGCAGCCTGATCTTACAGGTCCCACCTGCGTGTGGCCTGCCTGAGGAGCATCTGCGCTGGGTGAGACTCAGAACAATTGTGTTTATGTGAGTGAGTGAAACACTTCCCCTCGGAAGGTCCCCATCCCAATTAAAGGCCAACTGCAGTAACACTTCAGGGTGCCAACCCCGCTTCCTTCCTGATAGGAGGTGCCATGTCATTTATTGAAAGAAAACAAAACAAAACAGGGTAAAACATCTCGTAGTAAGTGCAGTTTGCTAAAGTCGGTTAAAACATAGGGAAGAAGGAAGTGAGAGTAAGCAAAGGGAGCATGTAAAACTCTGGGGTCTGGCACCTGGAGAAGCAATGCTGGGTGGGTGGAGGAGAGCGGGAGGGTCTAAAGGGAGGCTGGCCCCACCCCACCTTCCCTTCACCCTCTCAAGCCCACCAGAAACTACCAAGACTCCTGGAGTAAAAGGTTTCAAGTTCAATAGTCACACTCTCTCCAAGTACAAAAAGCAGTTACAATCCAACTGAACACAGACGCTTGTGTGCAAAGTTACGGGGAACTGAGACATCATATAAAAAGTTAGGTTAAAGGTGATTTTGTTGTTTTGTTTCGAGGGTGTGGCTCTTCCTCGGTTACCTGAACTCAGCAAAGAAATGGTTATTTGATGAAGTATCAACGGCTGACCCACAGTAAAAACAGACAAATTCTAAAAATTAAAAAAAAAAAAGCATAATTACCAAAAAAAGTCACTGCTTCTTCCTCCCTCTGCATTTTGCTTAAACTTTTTTTTTTTTTTAAGTTTTTAAAAAATTTTTTTTTAAATCCTGAAAAGTAGACAGTAAAACATCTCCTGGAAGAATTTACAACCAACTGCGTGAGAGTCTGGGAAGCCATGGGGCTAAAAGCAGGGTACTGTGGCCTCACTGGGTAGCCAAGGAGAGGAGGACAGGAGGAAGCGGACGGGACACAGGCAAGAGGAAAGGCCACTGCCGCCTGCCTGAACCCAGAGAGAAGGTGCCTGGCCTTACGAAGGGAGAAGCCCTCTGAAGAAGCGGGCCAGAGAGAGGCAGCCCTGGGAGAACCCTGTCCCCAGCACCACAGGACTCAGAGGGGATGGAAGGGGCCAAGGCAGGTGCTCGTAGAAGCAGCTGGCAGGGCCTCTGGAGGCTCCAGCACCTGTTACTGTGTGCTCGCGCCCCCCTGTGTGCTGCCCGAGTAGCCTCCATAGTCGTAGTTCCCGTAGTATGGCGGCCACTGGCTCTGGTTCTGGTAGTACTGGCTCCACTGCTGGGCATACTGGGGAAGAGAACAGGAATATCAGGTCACCTCCCGACCACTCCACACGGTCCCTTCTCTCCTCTTGCGGTCCACCCTCAATATACGGGTCCTTTGACAGAAGCCAAAAATGGGAAAGCAGGAAATGCAGTCCTGGTCTTATGGCTTGTTGGCTGTCCTTTTCAGGTATGGTAGCCCCAGCACAGCACCAACTTGGAATAGATCCTGGCCACATTGGAGGCCCAGCTCAGGCTTGCTACACTGGGGGCCAGTGTCTACACACCAGTTCTTATCAGCTAGTAAAGAGCAGCTTACCAAAGCTTTTGAGATGAACGTAGCTCAAGACAAGCAGCTGCCCATATCTTAGGAACAGGCAGGAACCCAAGTCTGAATCCACAAATTACTATAAACCCAAGACTGCTCCCAGAAACGTCACTGGGAGGCCCATCTTGCACATACCTGCTGATACTGGTTATAGCTGGGCTGAGGGTAGGTCTGGGCAGTGGGCGGTGGTGGTGGGGTATAGGGGGCAGGAGTATAGGGGCCATAGCTCCCATAGTTGTAGGCAGGTGGTGGTGGAGGTGGAGGTGGTGGGGCTGTGTAGCCCTGGGTGTAGCCTCCTTGGCTGTAGGGCGGCTGGCTGTAACTCGGCTGAGGAGAGAAAAAGACAAAAGCTCTGTGAAACAGACAGCACACACAAGTCTGCTCTAAAGTGCCAGGACAGGTCTGGGAAGCAGCACACCCTAGACCTGTGCTCTGCTCTAAGACCCAAGGGCAGAGGCCATGTGGCATTTCTAAGACCTGCTTCACCATCTGCAAAACAATCTCGGTAGAGCCACCCTCTTGGCTTGGCTTGGTCACCCAAGCTGTGTGCACAGTGCTGGGCACTCGGTAAACGGTAGTCACCATGTAGATTTGTTGAGAAAAGCAGTGTGACAAGTTCTGAAAAGCTTCTCATGTACAGATAGATCATCACCTCACTATACCTCATTCGCAATGCTGACATCATTTCCATTAGCTCTATTTTACAGAGATGGAAACTGAGGATGGGGCTGGAGAGATGCTCAGTGGTCAACAACACTGGCTGGTCTTGCAGAGGACCCAGGTTTGCTTCCCAGCACCCACACAGTGACTCACAACTTTCTCTAACTCTGTTTTAAAGGAACCAACACCTTTCTTTTGTATTTGTTTTTTGAGACAGTTTCTCTGTGTAGCCCTGGCTGTCCTGGATCTCCTAAGAGATTCTCCTGCCTCTGTCTCCCAAATGCTGGGATTAAAAGTGTGCACCAACACTGGCTTTCTAAAAACTGGAATGGGGCCTAGAACAGAGTTGTCATCCACCCTGGGACCCTGGCCTCCCACGATGGGCAAGAGGTGACTCCACTGAGCGTTTACTTATTGACCAAGTGAGGCCAGTGACAGAGCTCAGGGACATGACCTTGTTGGTGAAACCAATGCTAGCACAACCTCCAGCGTTGGAGGGGCTCTAGCTACGTCTACTGTTTGACACAGCTAAATAGCTGCAAGAGAAAAGGACAGGCTGCAGGAAGAGCGCAGCCTGTGGCCAAATAATGTGTCGATACCTTGGACCTGCCCCTTCTCCTCTACACAACATACACACAGGACCTCACCTGTGGAGGGCTGTAGCTGCTCACTGTAGGGGTGCTGGTATTGGCGCTGGAGCCAGGGATGTTGCTGTTTTTGTTGTAGCTACTGGCCCCTGGGGGATTCCGAGCAGGGCTGTAGCTAGGTGGTGGCGGTGGCTGCTGTGGTGGTGGTTGTGGTGGTGGTGGCTGTTGCGGTGGTGGCTGTTGCTGGGGAGCCCGGTTATAGCTGCCTCTGTTGTTGGAGTTGTTGTTATCCCGGTTGCTGTTACCCCAGCGGTTCTGGCTGTAGCCACCGCCTCCGCTGCGGTTGAAGCCTGCATTGGAAAATCCACATATACAGGATGCCTCAGTAAGGCTGGCTATATCCAAACTGAGCTCAACAAAGCAAGGAATATGCAGGCACTCCACTTGAGCTTCCCCCAGGCCCTTAGCACACTTTGTCTCTGACTGGACACAACAACTGAAGTCGTTATTTGTAGACAGGCCTGTGTCTTCTACTGCACTGAAGTGGCAAGGCACAGATGTCTTGGGTGTGTCCAGCTCTACACAGCTGTTCAACAAACTAGAAAAGATGTTCAGGAATGATGCTAAACACCAGTAAACAGCTGCAAGC